TCCTGCATATACTATACTTGCATATACTTGTATATACTTGCATGCAACCCCATATGTATTTACCGATATATCTATAAATTAGATCTAACTTCCACTTAAGAGAGAAAGCATATGGCCTTCATCTCTCTGGCCCTGACATTTTCACTTAACATAATTTTTCCAGCTTCATCCATCCTTTCTTTACAAAGGATTCTTCCTAATGGATGAGTAAACTTTCATTTTATTTTTTTTTCCCTGATCTTTTGTGTATTTAAGATAGGACTAGTGATCAGGTGAAAGGAGGTACCCTCAATCATATCCTTCATTTTGTGCAGGAAATGGAACTGAACCAGAGAGCCACAGAACTGGAGTTGGAAGAACAAGTCTTCTGCTGTCATGGCCATCTTCCTGCCCACATCCTGGAGACATAGCTTAGAATTAGGCCTAAGGGATGTTTTCTTCCGTGAATGCATAGAAGGTGCCAAGACTTGTCAGTGTCTAAATGGATTCAGCTCGGACTACATAAGCAAGAACCTTGGGTCTCTATTTAGGTGGCCAATTGTGACTATTCAGAGTCCTAAAAAATAGAAGCTTTTGAAATTAATGATATTAACAATTCAAAGACTCTTCACCTGTATCTTACAGATGAGAGACCGAGACGAAGCTCTGGCCTTTGCTTTGGCAACACCCACATGGACCAGGTCAGTGAAGAAGGATACTTAAATTCCAGTGGGAGCTTGCTCTTCTGTAGACTCCACGCTAGCCCCTCCACATGTAGCCACTCCCTCCTGCTGACTACAGGGAGACAAATGAGCCTTTCTGCTGCGAGGGACGAAGAGCCAGATATGCCCCAAGCCCCTTCCCCAGTCCTCTTTATTGGCAGTAGGTAGTCCCTGTTCTATGTTTGAACAGGAAAAGGATTTGTACTCTCTGTGGACTGGAAGAACGTATCACTGCAGGGATATGGTGGGTAAGTTACTATCAGATCACATCACAGATAAGAAGCTGTGTGTTTTACCAGCCTTATCAGTAGTAAGGAGAAAGGCTTGCTCCCAAACTCCCCCAGGCTCCTCCTCTTCTCTCTCTCTCAATAGTAAAGGAAAGAACTTGCTCACCAGCTGATAAGACCCCCAAACTTCCCTAGCCTTCAGTCTCCTTCCCTCCCCTCTCACACATGTATACAAATACACACATTCCTGGGTATAGGTTGAGGGTTGGCTCTAGGAACACCATGGATATGAAACTCTGACAAACTTTATATGGGAGTGTTTGAACATAACCAGTATTCTTTAAAACATCTCTTGATTACTTAAAGTTCCTAATAAATGCTATGTAAGTAGTTATGCTTCTTTTATTGCTTTGACAACAATAATAGTAAGAAAGGTTTATATGTGTTTGGTACACTTTTTTTTTTGGGGGGGGGGAGTAGAAACCAAGCTTACAGCCTTATTCCTACTATGGGTGGCTGAATGCACAGAGGGCTGATTGAGTGTATAAATCTTGGCTCCATGCCCATGAAAGGGAGAAATTATTCACTGAGTCCTAAAGCCTTTATATCCTTATGTAATCCCTTTTACAGAACCATCCTTATCTATATAGTTACCTGAGACAAGGAAATGGGAAAACAAGGAAAATATTAAAATAAATTTTCACAGTGGTCCCCTTGAAGGACCACAGGTAACTCATACTAGATCTTAAGTAAAATATGTTAGGCCAGGAGTAGTGGCTTATTCCCAGGTATTCAGAAGATATATCAGGTGGATAGTAATTTGATGCTTGTCCAGACAAGTTATCAGGGCCTTTCACTCAACCAAGTCCAGCATGATGGCTCACACCTAGGAATAAGGAGAGCAAAAGGAGAAAGACTGTAGTTAAGGCTAATGGAAGCAAAAATGTAAGACTCTATCAAAAAAATAATTGAGCAAATGGTTGCTCAATTGGGGTTTTGCTCAAATGGCAGAGTGCCTGTCTAGCAAGTGTGAGGCCCTAAGTTCAAACTCCAGTATCATAAAAAAGAGGCATGAACACAATCAAATACTGCCATTGCATTCCATTGCCTTTCCCTAGCGAGTAGATAACTCAGGAAGATGTTCCATAAGAGTTTATTTAGCATTAATGGGCACCTTATTCTGAAATTTTTAAAGCCAATTTTCATAAATAATGGAAACAAACTAGGGGGGAACCAGGCCCCAAACAGAAAAACTCCTTTTGGAGTTCAATCTAACTCTTAGGTTTTTTTAACTGATTTACCTCAACCTTGTCTGGTGCACATATCCATCTGGATAAGGAGGACAAGCCTGCCCTCTGCTGTCTGAAGAGAAAATTACCTTCAATTTTTCATAACTCTACATGTTCATAGGTTGTTTCCCAGACTACATTCCTGGTACTAGTAGCCAGAGAGCAGCGTCTTTGGACAGAAGGTTCAGTATCACTGGAAATCCATAATGCACTCTGAGATACTGAAAATTCATACATACCTTGACAGGCAGGTCTACCTAAGCCTCTCTCAGACTGATGTTTCTGGAGGCCCATGACACCATCCAGCTTTCTAGCTCCAAAAGCAACATGTGATTGTCACTTCACCCAGACGTCATGAATCTGGTCTAATTTTCCACCTTCCCTCATTCATTCATTTTCTTGGTCAACATCCTCAATTCCCTATTTCTCTGGCTGCTCTTCCCCATCAATCCCCCCTCCACATTCCAACTTGTCACCCTCTCCTTTTGCCACTCCATCATCAGTCCATTCTTTCTTCATTTTCTGCAGTCCTTCTTTATGGATCCTGCCGATTCTGTGAGCTTCCATTGCACTCACTGTCTATGCCTGAATTAATGTCTCAGAACTCTAAGCACTAATTTCCTCTCTTGCTGGATGACCACAAAACTCCACATGAACAGGGATTGTGTCTACCTTACTCATAATCAAGTCATAAAAATGGTCAAAGGCTTCACAGACCATAGACAACGTTTTTGAAGAAAATAGGGAGATGCTGAAATAAAGGGATACCAGTTAAACCAAGACACTGGAACAGGCGAACCAACACATCATTTTTCTTACATGACACATGAAACTTATTCATCTCATACTTCCATGAAAAAAAGCATTAAGTAATTATGCATGAGCAAAGCAGCTTAGGTACAGGTGTAGTGGAACAGGTCTGTAATCCCAGCCATTCAGAAAGCAGAGGTAGAAGGATCATTGCCCAAAGCCAGCCTGGGAAACCATGAGAACCTATTGGACCATTTTTAGTTCCATGGAAAGGAAGAGGAAGAGGAAAGGGGAGGGGAGGAGAATGAAAGCAGAGGAAAGGAGGGAAAAAAGAAAATGGAGAGGAGAGGGGATAGGAGGGGGGCGACAGGAGAGGGAAGAGAGGGGAGAGAATGGAAAAGAAAAAGGAAAGATAAGGAGAGAAGAGAGGATGTAGAGAGAAAAGAGACTCAGGGGAAATCAATAAATTTATCTAAGGTTATTCAACTGTAAATTCCAGAGTTAGGGTATCAACCCAACTTTCTGGCTCCATCATGGTACAAGTTCTAATAGAATGGTCAGCCATATAAGAATGAAGGCTCACACTGGCGGGAATAAACTTTCTAAAATCAATAAATGTTTCTAAATTGACAGAAGCAGGAGAGTTAGATGAAATCATCTTGGGTTTTCTTCATTCTAGACAGAGGCTTTCAGGGACATCTTACTAAGAAAACCACTCCCTGATCTCGGGTTCTTGGCTCCTACTTCTAAGTCCCTAGCATGATCGCAAACCTTAGTCACCAAAGTGCCTGAGGAACTTGACTGCTTTGTTAAATTGCTGTCCTCAATCTCCACTAGAGTGTACTTTGGCTTTTGTTCGGATAGATCTCACCTTTGCATTTGCATTGGTTCAATTAAATCTTGTTTGGTTAATACTCCTCTGAGGTCTAGCCTTGGATTCTTCGGGGAGGCCAACAACCTGTCATTCTACTGACAAGAATAAACTCAGGATGGAGATCACGTATTAGATGGAAGTGACTCTAATTTGTACAGCTCTTACACAGAGCGTTGTCTCTAACAGAGGCTGGGGATGCAACTCCATGGGAAAGGGTTTACTCACTTACTGCAGGTTCACAATTTAAGCCTCAATACACAAACACAAAGTAGATTCTACATATTAATTTTTCGGACTGAAAAATACTTTAAGGAAATATAAATGAATTGAACCAGAACACTGGTTTATAAAAATTAATTACAAACCTATCCAAGGCTTACAGCACTCAGAAGGCTTATGAGGTTTCAAACAAATCCAAAACAAAACCCTTCTGATTAAAGATCTTATCTCCTTTATGAAAGTGAGGACTAACGTATGCAAATTAGCTCTTTGAAGTGACCCTGGCAATCAAGTTACTCAGGATTGTAATTGACCATGTTGACTTCTAAAAATTGATTATAATAAAGAGGAGTGAATATAAGGAATTGTTACTTTGTGACATTCTCTCAATCACCATTTATTGGTAGAAATATTTGGAAATTATCCTTTATAAAGGAATAGGAAATCTGTATAACAAGACTTTCCATGGCGTGGCATAGTGTGTCATAAACAGTAACTTTGTGTGCATGTGTGTACTAGGGTTTGAACTCAGGCTCTCGGGCTCTTACTTAGCTTTCTTGCTCTACTGCTTGAGCCATACTTCCAACCCAGAATTTTGCTGGCTAATTAAAAATATAGTCTCAGCTTCTCTATCCAGCCTGGCTTCTCTGTCCATGTCTCAGGCTAATGAGTAAAATTATAGGCAAGAGCCACTGTGTCTGTCAAACTGGTATTTGAAGATATTCTTTGCCTTAAAATTTTGTGCATATCTACTGGTGGTTTTAAAAGATATCCATCTAAAAAAGAAGCAAAAGTGACTCTCTGAAAAAGATGTTGTTCCTCCATGAGTAGGCCACATCCCAGTTTGGAAGACTGATCTGCCCCTCCAGCACCCTGCATCATTTTGTGAAACTTTGAAGACAAACACTGAGTGGCACACAATCTGACCCTGGTGCGTGTGTAATCATGTTAATAAAAGTTTTTATTTTACATCATAATGTTCTTCCACCTTAGTCAAATTCAAATTATCTTATTTCTGAACTGATAACATTTAAACAAGTTTTCCTACATGACAATAAACCATTCCTCCTGTTTCGTTTCTACTGCTCAGACATTTAATGAATAAAAGTTTTAATGGGTCTCAATGCCATCAAACACACATGGTCTAAAATCTGCCTAGGTCAGAAAAGATTGATCTTCTAGTCATCTGTGCACATTTAGCAGGACTGCTCACAGTCCAGTTGGGCTGATGTTCTCCGGAGTAAAAGTGAATGTTCTGGAAGCACCACTCAACTCAATCTGGGCAGAGTTCTCTGTTAAAATTCTTCTTCAGCCTGCTTGCTTCGGGACTGCTTCAGCTGCTGTAGCCGCTCGATGGTTTCAGAAACAGTGCGCTCCCCGTGGACCTTATTGTCCCTTGTGCGGATATTAACTGTGCCACTGCTTTTCTCTTTTTCACCAACAACTAAATGGAAGATATACGGCTGTATGAGACTTAACCTAAAGTCATGGGACAAGCCACCTGTGAACATCTGCACACAAACAATCCTAAGGCACCCCAAAACTACCCTGTAGCTTCAGATACAAAAAAATGTACAGGTGTCTATGTACAGTTAGACAAATGACTTAAAAGTTCGATTCATTAAGGGAAATTAAATAACAAAATACAGTACATACAACTTCTGCACTGAGTCAATGTCAGCAACTTAATAAATACATATTAAAGCAATATGATATGAAGGGGAGAAATTTTTAGGTAATTCTTTAAATCCTTTTTTTCCTTACACAAGTTTTTCTTTGTTATTATCAATTGAAAAATACTGAGTCAGGATTAGAAGAAACTTAGCATGAATGAGGCTGAGTTTAAAAAAAAAAAAAAACAGAAGTAAATACATTCTTAACCACATTACACTTAAATCTAATTCTCAACTGTCAGCATATTTTCTTTCTTTCTTACCCAGGATGAAGTTATACTGTGCTAACTGTGCATTTCTGATCTTCTTATTCAATGTACAGCCTGGGTCCAGATCAATGTCTGCCATGAATTTAGCATCGTGGAATTGTTGCCTTACCTATTAAACAGACACAGAATACAGAATTATCAGTTACTACAAGAATTTTAGTTTTAACTCAAGTGATAATATTTAATACAGCACAAGAATAAGCATGCAGCCAGGGCTCACACCTATAATCCTAGCCACTCAGTAGGCTGAGATCTGAGGACTGTGTATGGTTCAAAGCCAGCCCAGGCAGGAAAGTCCATGAGACTCTAGCTCCAATTGACCACGAGAAAACCAGAAGTGGTGCTATAGCTCCAAGTGTAGAATGCTAGCCTTCAGCAACAGAGCTCAGGGATAGCGCCTAGGCCCCGAGTTCAAGTCCCATGACAAAAAAAAAGTATAATCATAATCATGCAAACATCTCAAAGATGAATGCTAGCAGATGTATTGAAGCATATAAAATTCTGAGTTGGCTCAACATTTACAAAGTCAAAAATGTAGACATGGTATGTGGCTCAAGTGATAGAGCAGCATCAGCTTAATAATAAAGGCAAGGAAATAGAGCTCAGTAGTAGAACGCTTGACCAGAGTGAAACAAGAAAACATATTTTGTTCTTGGGCTGAATGTTTTAGAAAATCCTTAAAATCAAGTGTCTTAGAACATAAATCACAAGAAAAGAAACCCTTTTGAAATTATATCTCAAGTTCCCAACATGGCTGCTGGATCAGCCTCCACATAAAACTACCACTTGCAGTAAAAGGAATAATAGAACTGAATGTCTTGGTTACCAGATACTTTAACATTCATTTCTTTCTTACAGAAGATATGATCTGAGTATAATTTATTCTGGTTATCTGGAGTGGTGATAATATTTATGTGATAGTTTTATTCACTTATCAACTTTTAATTATTTTTAATGCTTTAATTTGGACTTTTTTTTAAAGCAGAATAAACTGTTCTAGTCTTTAAGTTATAGAGTAGGATTAGTTATTTATGTATTAGTAAGTTAGGGTTCTTACAGCAGAAAGAGCAATAAATAAAAAATTTCATTTAAAACAAAACGAAATTGCTCCCTTAGTCAATACAACCTAAGCTGTCTTTGTATATGAATTTACAAATAATATTCTTTATAATAATAAACAGTAAAATACATGTGTTTTATAAAATGCTAAGTAAGTATGTCTTCTGATTGTGGAGCTAGGAAGAAAAAAAGCACTGTAGAAGTGATTGAATCTATGCAGGGTTATCAAGGCAGAAATCAGCAACAGATGTCAATGCCACAAGTAACTTGATTTACTCAGAAGATGCAGCATAGTCTGAGTGCAGTGTGCACATCTGCAATTCCACATACTTCAGGGGCTAAGGCAAGAGCTAGGTCTGCCTGAGCATTACCTTTTGGGCATAGTCATCACACGTTGGTCCCACTGGAACTACCATTACCTGACGAGGAGACAGCCAAAAAGGCCTAGAGAAAGTAAAAAGAGTGCAGATTTGGGTACATTCAATACACAATGACACATTTCTTAGTTTAGAATCTTTGCCTACAACATGTAAAAGCTACTTTTAAACCTAGAATTGGGGGCAGCTAGTTTATGTCTGTAATCCTGCCTTCTCAGGAGGCTGAGAGCCAGAGGATTAAGGTTCAAGGCCAGCCTGGACAGAGAAGTCCTAGAATTCATTGTCAAAATAACCAGCAGGGATTGAGGTATAGCTCAAGTGAAAGAATGACAGCTAAACATGCAAAATAAGCATATGAGAGGCCCTGAGTTCAAGCCCCAGTGCCAGCAAAAACGAAACAAAGCAAAACATAACCTACTTTATAACTTGGCTTTTCTCTTTTAAAACTACCATTACAGATTATGGAGAGGAGACTTGAGTGAAGAAAACCAATCCTATATAAAGAAAATCTGTAAGTAAGATCTATGTTGCTTAAGCAGAAAAACAAAGCAATTTCATGTCAGTGACAAGGATTCACACTTCAACACATTATAGAGTAAAACAACAGTAGAAAACTAATTTCTAAATAACTGTACATAATGACTTAAGAGTATATTGTAGATGTACATGGTGGCTCACACTTGTAATCCTTGCTATTGAGGAGGTGAAGAATGAGAAGAAAATAGAGGACAACCTAGGAAAAAAATTCTCAAGACTCTATCTCAAGCAATAGCTGAATGTGCCCATCATACCACCTAAGTAGAAAGCATAAATAAGGAGGGCCCAGGTAAGCCCCAGCAAAAAGCAAGACCTCTGAAACATAACCAGAGCAAAAAGAGATAAGAGGCACAACTCAGTGGTATAGTTCTGCCGAGCAATTACAAAGCCCTGTGTTCAAAAATAAAAGATTATTACTTATTCTTCACGAGAAACAACACAGATGGTGCCTCCATATTCAAGATTCTTTCTGCAATACTTAGAAATTCTAATATATGTTGATTATGGCACTTGAAAAATGATGACTTTTCATCACTTAAAAAATAATCTTTTTGGAGCATTACCCTATGAATAGTACAAATCTTAGCCCAACTTCTCTCCCATCAACTATTGTTTTAAATAGGCAAAAGGCTGGAGCAGGCACTAAATTCTATCCTAATTGTGGGATATCCTCGGTCTATCACAGGTCTGGCAGAATAATTAGATAAGAGCTCCCCCAATTCTCTGGATGCCATGTAGAAAAAGACTGTTTATTTTGTGAAACCTAACTAAAAAAGTTATCTTATCTCATTGACAAGTATGGAAAACTTCCTTTAGTAACTGAGCTAAATAAATTCAACTAACATTGAAATAACAGCAATGTACAAGAGTCAATCAATACATATTTTGCCAAAGTATCAAATGCACAGAATTAATACTGCATTCTCAAATAGTTGTTTGGTAACCCAGTACTGTACTATAGGCCAAGGGAAGCCATTAAATTAAAAAGATGTTCATCAATCTTGATGTATATAATTTTATTTTTCTACTACACAAGAGCTGCAAGTATTAGCTTATTTTGACCAGCAAAGCTGAAAAAAGTAAGCCAAAAAGGACCTACTCATTTACCCATGCAGAAATGATAAAAGCCATACAGCTCCAAACAAAGTTAACATGCTGAAAAAGCAATCAAAAATAAATTGTTTTCCTGTTTCAGAACTGCTCATTAGAATAAATATTTAAACAGATCAAGTTTTAAAATGAAAATTATAGAGCAATAACAAGTATTCTTTCTCTCTCTTTCTGTGTATACGGGGAAGGAGTGCTGTTTAAACCCAGGGCCTCTCAGTGAACTACTGAACTAACTTATCTCCAGCCCCCCAAATATTCTGCATGCCTAAAGGTTTGGCTTTAGATTGTAATTCCCTACTTACTAGTAAAGACTTGTCCTTAATTAGATGTAGCCAATCTCAATCATTCTCCCAATTTCATAAGTATAATGGAAAGGAGACTTTCTTCTAGCCAATGCACAAAGTAATAAGACAAAAATAAATAAGTAAAATAAAAATTACCATTTTCCCCCATAGTTTTCAGTAAGGATAGCAATCATTCTTTCCACAGACCCCAAGATGGCTCGGTGAACAATCACTGGCCTTTTCTTATCATCACCATCATGGCTATGAAGAAGAAGAATTTGTTTTATATATTTTCTCTCACATATCCTTGAAAAAATATGCAGAGAAAATAGCAGACACTAACCTTACATAAGTAAGATTAAATCGAATAGGCAACTGAAAATCCAGTTGGATGGTTGCACACTGGTGATAGCGTCCAATCGCATCCTTTATCTGTATGTCAATCTACAAAGCAACGATGCTGTTACCGTAAAATGCTGTCAATATTAACGCTGAGCTCAGCAGCTGGATCAGTGCTGATTTTCCTTCTGTTTTGAATTTATCTTAGGGAAATCTTTCTTTGCCCACAAGAATCACCTTACTCCCATAAACTTTGCTACTCACCTTTGGGCCATAGAAAGCACCATCACCAGGATTTAACTCCCACTTTTCACCAAATTCATTCAAACTGTTTTCAAGTTGCTAAGGATAAGACAAAATGATTAGTATTTGTTCATCTGCAACCTTTCTCCTTATTTCAGGTTAAAAATATCGTAAGTACTTTCATGAATCACTATATTCTGCTTTCACATTTTGTCCCCGAAATACACTCTCAAGTCTCTTTTAAAGCTTATAGCTTATAGCTAGGGGGAGAAAAAAAAACCATTAATAAACAACTAATTTAAAATATTTCAAAATCGGATTGAAAAAATTTAGCTAATTCCAACAGAGAAACTACTTCCAATTTTCCTTTATGTTTACCCATCGTGAAGCTTAGAACAGCCGATTTCAGGCAAAGCACATTAAAATACACCACTTACTTTCTCAGCTTGATTCCATACTTCAATATCTCCAAGGAATTTTTCTGGGCGAGTGGAAAGGTTCAGTTTGAAGGAAAATCCAAACACATTGTATACTGTACGTAGGAAATCCAAGCAACCTTTTATTTCATCCTCAATCTTTAAATTAAAAATAAATATATATAGTGACTACTTATCCTTTGTTTCCTTGACACTTCTTCCAAAATACTTTATTCCACTGGGCCTCATACCTGTTCCATGGCACAGAATATGTGTGCATCGTCCTGCTGGAATCTTCGTACCCGGGTGAGTCCTGTGAGTGCTCCTGACAGCTCATTCCTATGAAGGACCCCAAAATCAGCTACTCGCAGAGGCAACTCACGCCAGGATCGTGGCCGATGATCAAACATCAGGCTGGAGAAAAGAGAAAAACAAAATCGACCGATAGGATTTCCAAGAATGCAAGGGGGCAGCCCAGAAGTTAAGTGCTTAACATACACGAGGCCTCAGGTTCAATGCCTAGCTCCTCTCTTTGCTCTCCCCCTCAAAACAAACAAACAAACAAACAAAACCCTACGTACCTGCATGAATAAAATAGCAAATAATTTATAACAGAATGATAGCCTAAGATAAAAAATATATTCCCACAAACTTGGATTCAAATCTTTGTGGTCAGTATTTCTATTGATATGAAAACTGTTGTCTGTAACGCTCATAATAATAAATAATAAATTAGGTACCTACAAATAACTATAATAACATGAAACCAATGTTATATCTGCTTTCTTGTAGGCAGAAAAGAGCTTGAGGTGACCTGTTAGTAGATGATTCAGAAAGAGAATTCTGAGAAAACTAAGTATGAACTGGGTTAGCCCTCTACCATCTATAGCTCAGTTTCTTCTTCCTCTCTTACTCCTCTGTCCCATGAACTCTGCCTATCAGGGGCCATGGACACCAAGCTACCAAAACCACAGCTCTTCCAAGTCTTCCCAAAGGTAACCCTTCATCTGTCAAATAAGTACTCAAGGGAAGGAAGATTTTTCAAGGGTATTAATCCATTAGCAGTAGGCTTTGATAAAGCACCTTCCTTTAAGGGAAGGCTCATCCATGCTTATTCTCCTGTTTTTATATATATCCTACTGCAAACTCAACTCTACTCCTAAAGAATCACAGATTTAACAGGGCATGAAAGTTATAACAGCATGACAATAATTTTGCATTTAACAGTGATTCTGATGACAGAATCTAATAAAAATTCTTTCAAAGCAGGCAAAGTATTTTACAGCTATAACACATGAAACTCTTCAGCAGAAATGCAAAGGGGAATACCAATGTCCTGGGCAGTTCATGGGCTTAAGAGCAAACAGCTCCTTCTCCACCTCAAAAGAGAACATGTTCTCGCTGTAGTGCTGCCAGTGTCCTGAGGTCATCCAGAGGCGGCTGTTATAGATGTTTGGGGTGACCACCTCCTGGAATCCTCTTTTCCGGTATTCACTCTGAGAGAGAACACACAGAACACCTCTAGGCAAACTACATTTCACATTTCTAGAGGCATTATAACCCAAAGGGAAATTGTATATTATCTAGTAACGTTCAAGACACACATACACCATGACCCAGAAAGTCTACTTTGATAAAGGAAACTCTTACACACGTTACATAAGGGGGCTAAGGAAAACTATGCTATGGCAATGAAATTAGAAATACCGATAAATAAATACCAATAAAACATAAATACATGGTGTTAGGTATATAACAGAGTACTATGTAACTAAGAAAAATAAACATTTTTATGTATCTAAAAAAGAAAATCACAAGTAATGGAGATACAGATATGCAAATTTGAAACAAACACATAATTTGAAGGTATGTACATACAGTGTAAATATAAATAACATGGACAAAAGGATCCATGTCAACTTTTGAACAGTACTTTCTTTTAGGATGGGAGGAAATGGATCAAAAAGAAAGTCCACAAGGTGTTTTTTGTTTGTTTGTTTTTTTGTCGGTAGTGGGGCTTGAACTCTGGGCTTGGGTGCTATCCCTGCGCTCTTCAGCTCAAGGTGAGCACTCTACCGCTTGAGCCACAGCGCCACTTCTGGTTTTCTAGTGGTTTTATTGGAGATAAAAGTCTCACAGACTTTTCTGCCTGGGCTAGCTTTGCACCATGATCCTCAGATGTCAGCCTCCTGAGTAGCTAGGATTACAGGCATGAGCCACCGGTGCCCAGCGCTGTGTGTGTGCGTGCGTGCGTGCGCGCGCGCGCGCGCGTGTGTGTGTGTAGCCATTTATATAGTTGTTTGTGTGTGTGTGTGTTTTAAGCCATTTGTATAGTTGTTGTTTTTTTTTAATAACTTGAACAAAAACTCTGGAGCAAATGTAGTAGGACGAAATATATGTTAAACTTGGGTGGCAAGTACACCAGCTTTTGCTTTTACTGTTCTCCATAAATTTAGGAAATATTTCATAACTTAAAAAGATAAAAAAAACAATGTATAGAATCTTTCTTTAAAAATAAAGTACAAATGAATGGTTAAAGAGACACAAAGCTCCTATGCAAAGAGTTACTAGTCCGATTTTAAGCTCATCAGCTTTTCCTGGTATACGTTCATGTATACAGACAAAATCAATACTAGGAACAAAGAATCTTTAAGCACTTTATAACACCCAAACTTCCAGTCTTGTGGAAAATCATTTTCTATATTTCTTCTCACATACAGATTATCCTTTCTTTTGGCAGAAAATCATCTTTTTAGTCCTAAATCTTCAGAAGAAATTAACAGATATAGTTTACCCTGATAAATTCCATAAGTGTATTATAAATGTAGGCTCCCTTTGGCAGGAAGAAGCAACTTCCAGGGCTGAGTTCATGGAAGAAATATAGTTCTTGGTCCTGGATAAAAAAGCAAAAGATTGTTGATATATATATTTATATAAAGTAAGTAAACTATTGTGATGTTCTGTAGTTAAATTAGTGTCACTCTTAAATAAAACAAACCATGGCGGTGTTTCTAGTGTGCACCCATCTACAGCTTAGCAGGAATCTGATTTGGTCTGTCAAAGCCCTCAGTCCATTCAAGGTTCCCAGCAGTGACATGGAAGCAGGAAGAGCTGCTTGATTCTACGGTTCTCAAGTGTTTTTTTGTTTGGTTGTTTTTGTTTTGCAGGACTGTGAATTAAACTCAGAATTTCCAGCTGGCTAGAATGTTCTACCACTTGAGTCATATCCTTAGGGTTTTTTTGCATTTAATAAATTTTTCTCTCTTCCTTCATTTTTAAATTAGGAGGTAAGAGAAAGACAGGGAAAATAGTACTGAAAACAAGAGATAGTGAAAGACAAAATATACTAACTTAAAGTTATGGTGAAAAAAAGTTCTTTTTATTCCCCTCCCTCCCAAACCCTGCTCCCACACCAAACATCAACTGCTTATGGCCCTTGGAGAGGTCCAACAATCATGGAGCAGTCAGCTTCCTCCCTGCTACAATTTATTTCAGGAAATTAAAGGGGCAGACCAGTGGATGCTAGGACTCAGTTTCCCCATCTTTATGAGTCTTGAGATGAGATGCTTTCCCAAGTCTCCCAGCTGTATGAAATGCAACTATATAACTACAGGTTACCAGCATTGTTGTCAATAAAAGTAGTAATTAAACCATTTTAATTAACTTTAATTAACATTACCAATTAACTTTTGTGCACACTCTAGAAGATGTGAACCATCAATAAGTATTTGCAATTAATACAGAACATGGTATCAGACACTTTAAATCTAAGCACCTCTTCAAAATAAAATTCCTAGTAGTCAGCTCAATTTAAACTGAAGAATTCAACTGGACTTCTCTTTAACATACCCTCCCAATTTTCCTGTGATCTCGGTTTTTAGCTTCCTCTTGGAATTTCTCCCACTCTTTCAACATTTTAGGATCAGGGAATGAAATGCCGTAAATTCTCTGGAGACTCTCCATATCAGCTTTGCCTTCCCAGTATGTAGAAGAATTCTGAAAACAAGGATCAACAATGACAAAAGATTCACATTTGTGAGCATTTCCTTTATTGTAAGAGTTGCATGTTATTTTTCATAATCAACTTATAAATCCAATTTATACTCATTCTTTTGATTGAAAAAAAAAAGACCCCCTCCCCTAGTAAATGTCTCCCATGGCTTTGAGATCCACCTGTGAATAGTTGGACTCATTCACAGCACACTTAGCTGTTTTCCTCCTTCAAAAATGCCCCCTTATCATTTGATAAACAAACCACAATTCTACCAGCACTTCTCAGACTGCTAAGGTACTTACAACAAAACAACGAGGTATAAATGTAAAGGTACCAAGAACAAAGAAAAGACTTTCAAGTAACTCAGTTATCCTCATGATTTAAAGTGCACTCTACTAAACAGCATCTGGATGACAAGCTGTATTGACAAGAAGTAATTTACTCAGTGTGCTGGTACTTATAAGACTGATGATGACACATGTGGCCCAGGCAGTAGTGATTCAAAAAATAATCATTCTTATATATGCAAGAAAAAATGGCCAAAAGGAGAAACCAAATACACCTCGTACAGATATGTACGCTTAAAACATCTGTACTAGGTAAAATCTACTGACGTCTTCAAAGTCTTACATTACTTACCTTGTGTATTTTTAAAGTCTTAATTTTGCCAGTGTGTCTAACATGAGGACCTCGACAGAGATCTATCAAGGGGCCACACCTAAAAACACCAATGAAAGGATTTCAACAAAGGCAAACTGGTATACACACATTTGCATGAAATGGCATGTGGGAGATATTCTCACCTGTAGACGGTTGTGGTTGGAGTATTTACTTTTTCATTCAATATGCGGCATTTGAACTTGTTGTACTAAAAACAAGGGAATGAAAGATTTCAAAATCCACCCTTTACCTCTAAATCACATGTAGCTAAAGTATAAATCACAGTACATCTTAAAAAGCACTCTATAAATAAACATGCCAATATTTTACATTTTAAAACATTTTCCCTAGAAAAAACTTCAGCTTGGTACAACACTTAATCCCAATATAATTAGTGAAGGTAATAGGTTAAAGCTCAATAAAGATGAGAAATTGGTAAGAATACAGGCAAGAATTTAATAACTATCTTACAAAATTCAGTAAATCAGGGGAAGGGGTGCACTGAGAGGGAAGGATGAGCACGCTGAGGGGGTGACATGGGTCATAAACTATTAAATGTCAACTTCTTCGTATAACTAAAGATAATAATAAAAATCAAAAAATTACCTTAAACATTTCCAGTAGAGTTTCTTTCTTAACTTCCAATCTTTCAAAAGCTTGTTTCTCTTTTATTATTTTCTTACATAAAGTCTCCAAAGAAGAGAAATCATTGCTGGACACACCCCTGAAGGAGAAGAGAAGTTAACCTTCTAGATGACCCTGAATCATACCTTGGCTTTAGACATTTCTGTGGATCACTTCAAGGGTTTTAATATTAAATAATTAACCAGACCCACTGTCATAGATACAAATTTTATACTACTTTAACACCTTCATTTTGGCAGTTCTGAGGTTTGAACTCAGACTCTTGTGCTTACCAGGCAGGCTCTCTACCACGAGTTGTGCCCCCAGGCCTTTACTTGCTTTTGTTATTTTTCAAATAGGGTTTCACTTTTTCCCTTGACTGACTTGGACCCTAAACCACTATTTATGTTCTTCACATAGCACAGGTAACAAGTCTGTGCCACAACACCCCAGTTTTTATTGGTTGAGATGGGGGGGGGGTCTTATAAACATTTTGCTCAGGCTGGCTTCCCAAACTGTGTGTCCCAAGTAACTAGGATTATAAGCATGAGCCACTACAGCTAACTTCATAAATTATCTCTATATTTTCAGTGGCTTCTACCTTGGTTACCATGGCAACCTTTCCACAAGTGATACAGCCTCCAACTCCCCCACCAGGTCTGAAGGACATATTACTTGCCAACATTTTATAGACCTCTATGTCCATGAATCAAGAAAAGAGATCTCATGAAAGCCTCTATTACTGTTAAGTATATGATAGTACTTCAAGGGGAATGCTTGGTGATTAGGAAGCAATGGGCTTCATACCTTTTTCCCTTTACTGAGAACTCCTTACAAACACATTACAGACCCATAATCATTCAGATTTTTCTTTATCCATTTCTATAACTTACCCTTCCTCGAGGTACATGTCATAATAGAATCCATTTTCTATTGGCGGGCCATAACATAAACATCCACCATAAACTCTTTCCATGGCTTCACCCATTATGTGAGCACTTGAGTGCCAATACACCTGAAAATGTAAAAATCAACAACAAAAAAGTACAGCTTCTGTCTTGTCATACAACTTGCTTATATGAAAAAGAAATCACACTATAAATAAAGCCAAGATATAAACATGTAAGTTACAAATCTATAAACTTTACTGTGATTCTGCCCATAGCCAAAACTTAAAAAGGTTTCTAATTACAAAACTGTACTAGCACTATAGGAACCATTTGGTTCAACTGTTTTCAAGTCAACTGAACTTAACATCATTAATTAAACTGGATGGATTCTGTTCCTTGAATACAATTGTCAGTCACAGGGTGACTGTCTATTGATTACAATCGTGCGTATAGCCCTCATGACTCCAATATATGATCTGGCTTACAGATAGATGGTTATGGAACAGCACTTAAGAATTACGCCTCTTGGAAGTGACGCTGTGGCTCAAGCAGTAGCGCGCTCGCCTTGAGCTGAAGAGGTGAGGGACAGTGCCCAGGCCCAGAGTTCAAGCCCCATGACCAACAAAAAAAAAAAAAAAGAATTATGCCTCTTTTGCTAGGTACTTGTGGCTCAGCCTGTGATCCTAGTAAGATCTGTGAAGCAGTTAGAAGCCAACCCAGGCAGAAAAGTCTGTGAGACTCCAATCACCAATTGATCAGAAGAGATATGGCTCAAAAAAGCCAAGGGAGAGTATGAGGCTCTTTTTTACACTGTTGGCCTAAAACAACTTGACTCCACACCACAATGATCAAACACAATGACAAACATATGAACTCTGAAATTAAATGGCAGTACTTGGTTTTTAGGTGCAAATGGCAGTACTTAGCTTTTAGATGGTCAATCATTCAGATGAATGAGAGAATATACTTAATATTTTCAGTATTTAATACCAAGATACCAAAGTGATATTACGTCATTTATATAAATAACTTATAGATTCCAGGATACACTTGAAAACCACTAATCCACATAGCCAAGTCACTGAAACCAAATAGTGCTTATCTTCTTCCATAGCATATGGTCAGATGTTCACCCTAAATTCATTTAATACCAAATAGAAATCTTACTGCTTGAGCTTCCTCATCCTCAAATTTGAGAAGCTCCAAAGTACAGTCTTCCTCCAGAGGGCGGTCTAGGTCCCAAACAACTTTGTTCACTTTAGCAATAACAGTGTTGTCCGCCAGACCTTGACTTAAAAATATACAGACAGATACAAATAAAAACACAAGACTCTAAAAAAAAATCTACATTTCACATAACATAAATTGCAGATAGAAAAAAAATGCTATATTCTATGTTAATATATAAGAAATGTGTTTTTGTTTTTTGCCAATCCTGAGGCTTGAACTCAGGGCCTGGACGCTATCCCTGAGCTTCTTTTGCTCAAGACTAGCACTCTACCACTTGAGCCACAGAGCCACTTCCAGCTTTTTCTGTTTCTGTGGTACTGAGGAATCAAACCCAGGGCTTCATGCATGCTAGGCAAGCACTAGACCACTAAGACATATTCCCAACCCCATAAATGTTTTTTATATAGATGACACATCTATAGCCTTCTGGTAGAAAAAAAAAATCATCAAACTGCAAGAAAATACACCACAAAGAATACAACTGTAAGATCCTAAAAATTTGGAACACTATTATGACATTTAATGTTTCTTACTTAAGTAGATATGGCAACGCTAATAAACAATAACAAAATCTAGTGGCTTGATTAACTTTTAAATATTTCCAAATAAGTTTTTTATAAAGCCAAGCTACAGCAAAAAATACAAACAGGACAATCATGGCCCAAATCAGCTTGTTTTATTTTTTAAATAAAGCAAGACATTATCACAAAAATAGCCAGAACAAAAGGAGCCAGAGCTATGACTCACACTAGAGCACCTGCTTAGCCATTACAAACTCAAATACTACCACACACACACACACAAAAAGACACCTTCTCTCAATGTGTTAAGATAATGTAGGAACTCTCATAGCACGCTACACTATCCCCAAAAACCTTAACCCTAGAAATATACAATTGACAAATATGTCCATTTTTACATACTTTAAGTTAACACATGTAAGACAAGTTGAAAAAGTGCTCTGAAAAGATCATTCTCTGTTGCAAATTCTTTGTAATTGTTTTTATTCTCCACTTAAAAAGTATGATAGGACATTCTTAGATTTCATACTATATAACAAGTGACAACTGACTTAAAATACATAACAAAGATAAACAGACCAACTGCTGATCCCCATCATATTAAATTAAGAAAATTATATATATATGCATATATATGTAACTTTTTTCATATGCCATATATCAGCTTCTGAACTTACCATGTGAGAACATCATTAAGTGATGTTCTCACCATTTATGCAAACATTGATGAAACATTTATTGGGCTCTGTGACATTTATGATCATAGAAAATGACTAAGAATATAAACTCCTTGATTAGAACTAAAGTGGATATCTTCAGAAAGTACCTCACTTTGTTTTTTTTAAATCTCAAATAAGGTAAGTTTAACACATTAAACCATTAAACAGTAATATAAAAACTTTCTGTAGTAAAATTTAGCAAGATAATTAAAAAAAAGTTTAGTCGTGTTACAAACTATAGAAGGTTGAGACAGGTGTAGCTCATACCTAATTCCACAAGCAACTTGGTATGGAGTAGTTTTCCAGGATTCTGCATCGACCTGTTTACCATCAGGCAGAGTGACCTTGATAGGCTTGCTATCTTTTTCTGCCTTTTCGGCAAGAATGGAATCATGCTCTGCTTTCAGTTTATTATACATCTCGAGACGTGTGTTAATATATTCAGGCCAAGGATTCAACTGTAAGATAACAAACAAGGAATTATCAGTGAATTCTTGTTTTCCTTTCAGAAAAGGAAAAAAATAGTAATAAAAATATAGTCAATTCAAAACCCCACAATTAAGCCAGACATTGGAGGCTCATGCCTATAATCCTAGATACTTAAGAGGCTGATATCTGAGGACTAAGTTTCAAAACCAGCCCAGGCAGACAAGTCTAAGAGACTCTTTATCTTCAATAAACCTGCAAGAAGCAGCAACTAGAAGAGTGGGTCAACTGGTAGAGCACTAGCCATAAGCAGAAAAAAAACACAGTAGAGCTCCGTGGTCAAAGTTCAAGTCCTAGCATAGGAAAAGACCGGCAGGGAGGGAGGAAGGAGGGAGGGTGAGAAGCAGGAAGGCAGACAAACATTTTACTACTTACTTGTAAATCTTAAAGTCACAATCAACTGTTTCTCCCACAATTACAGTGGAGCATCATGGGCAGGGCTTTAAACCATACCATGCTTGGCCACTTACATTAAATAAATGAAAACACTATAAAGTTAAAGGTAGTAGCTACAGAATTTATAAGTTCTTTAAAGTCAGTTTTATTATGTTACTTTTTAAAAGTTTATTGCTTTGTGCTTCTATACCCTAATAGTTTTCAAGAGTATTCTAGTAAAATAGGTGAACTAACTAAAAAAAAGTCAACAACAGTTCATAGCAGTTCAAGTTTGAAAATAAAGTAGGAAGACAAACTTAACTGCCTCCCAAAGCAAAGCATAAAGGAACCAGGTAGATTCTGCACTGGACTTTTTTTTTTTTCTTTTTGCCAGTCCTGGAGCTTGAACTCAGAGCCTGGGCACTGTCCCTAAGCTACATTTTGCTCAAGGCTAGCACTCTACCACTTGAGCCACAGCACCACTTCGAGCTTTTTCTGTTTATGTGGTACTGATGAATTGGTTTCATGAGTGCTAGGTAAGTACCCCATCACTTAGCCACATTCCCAGTCCTGCACTCTATTTTGAACTCCTACTTCTTTTGAGGGTGGGCATTTTACTTAAATTTGGGAGGTCCCAAAAGTTTCCTTATCTTTAAACCAGACACCAGGTGCAGGTCCAAAAGTAGAGTGAGGAGGAGGTCAAGGAACTGGCTTCCTTTGTTTTTTGGTAAACACAGCATAAGCTCAAACCTTGTTCGTACTCCCTATGGTCTAATTTAATGAAATGATAGAAAACCCAGTATCTAACTGGCAACTGAACAATCATCACAGTCCTTTTTCTTTAGCCTTACTTCTCTGATTTCTATTATCTGATGCCACAGTCAGAACTTCTTACATACATACTGTGTTCTAGTTGCAATTAGATAAATACACATCTTTCTCTCCTCTGAGACTATCTTTTCCTAATTCTTCTCCCTGAGTTTTCCATTTCATGCCACCTTATATTACAAATCTCTGAAAAGCTATTAGATCCTTACATACAGGAGAAGCCTAGGACAGCTACCTGTTTCCAGCAAACCTCTGAGAAGCCTTTATAACAGTAATGTTTACCTCTGCTCGGCCTCCATCTCCACATGATTCCTTGTTCTTTTTCTTGCCTCCTTCCTTTCGCTTCTCTTCACTGGCATCTACCTACAAAAGTAAAAGGGAAGAGAAGTCTTCATATTTTAATCTAATTTGACACCCTCTCACCATGATACCCCCAGGCATGTTTTAAGTATATTATCTTAGTATTTGTTCAAAACAAAAAGGAAAGGGACAAAGAATTTTGAAAGACTGGATGGAAAATTTTACCTCTGACAAAGGTAATTTGCCATTCATAGTAAAGGCAATTCCTTAAAAAGTACAGGGGATGGTTAGTTAACAACGTGCAATCCATTATATTTATTTCAATTTAATTTCTCATTTATTTCATTTTAACTCTTCCCCTGACTCTGAGTTCAAACCCTAATACCATTTAAATAAATAAGTAAAATAAATAAAAAATAGATTATTAAGCTAGGCATGGTGGCTCATGACTACAATCCCAGTTATTGAAGAGGCAGCTATCAGGAAAATCAGAGTCTAAGTTAGCCCAGGCAAAAAGTGTGAGACCATCTTAATCAAACAAGCCAGGTATAGGGCACATGCCTGAGGTCCCAGCTACTAGAGATGTACAGGTAGGTACATTGTGTCCAAAACTGGTCCCAGGCAAAAAGTGAGACATTATCTGAAAAATGACCTAAAACAAAATGGGCTGAAAGTATTGCTCAAGTGATAGAGGACATAACTAGCAAGAACAAATTTTAAGTGAAAAATGAGGAGAACTGCACTATAAAGAGAACCTACAAAACTATCTTCCTTAGGACAGTAAAGTATTGAAAGAGAAGGACCAGAAGACCATGGTTTAAGTAAATTTAATCTCAGAAACTGAGAGTGGAGAAAAGCCTGTGGAATTCCTGTAATTTGGTGAAATATCTGTCCTTGGCTCATTCCTAGACCCATGATGGAAAGGAACCTTTGGACCATGGGCTACAGATTGATTGTCTTTCAGCAAAATATTTATTGCTCTTCTGCAATTTCCCATACAGAATGAATGATAACAGAACCCAGTTCCTAAGAGCTGTTATGAAACCTGAATGAGTTAACACATAAACTATATAGTATACTCTATACATACATTCTATCCAGGCCTATAGTTAGCACTAATAAACACTAGCTATTGTATCATCATTATTTAGGAGGAAGTTGGGGTGCAGTTCAGTGGTAAACGGAGAGAGATCATTTATTTGCCATACATCACTTCCAATGAATAGGAGGGGAGAGGAAGAAAAGAGAAAAAAAGAGGAAGAAAAATGAATGGCATAGAGATATACTTATAGACATGTGAAGCTGTTGACTATATCTTATTGAGCAAAACAGATAAGTCACAAAACAGCAAAAACACCATTCTCAATAAAAACACTTATGTACATCCACTACTTGTCACCTTAAATTTACAATTTAGAAGGTACATGAACATTTTCCCCGTTCAAGTTCCTACAGTGTGGGTTCTTAGTAAACTGTCCTATCAGAGTCAGGGTGAAAGCTCGTTTTCTTAAGCCCCCATCACTTGTCACCTGCACTATTCCAACAGCAGCCTCCTTTGTGTGGCCTCGACTCCTTCCCATGAGCCCTCTACCACCATGCCAGAATGGGTTTTGAAATCCAATTCCCATATACCATTTTCTTGGTTAAAGCCCCTCATGTGGCAAATGCAAATAATCCTTCTGACTGCCCTATTTCCCCTTTACAGTCACATTTCTTCTAATCCAGTCCCCAGACATAACTCACTACTCATGTCTGTTCAGTCTTCCTTTCTACCTGAGCGGTCTTCCTCTGCCCAGCCAGGAGTCCAGCAGCTAGTGACTCCCCTAAATCCCGAGCACATGCCTGTACTCCAGGCTTCGGCTAGGCTGTTCGCGGCCCTCAAGGCCAGGCATTCCGTCCTGCCACCCGAGATCCCGAGCGCCAGGAAGAATGAACACCTAAAACATCGTATACTGCGAAAGAAACGAAACAAAAACAAGCAAGCTGAAACTTCCAACAGCGTGAGAGCGACGCCAAAGACGAAGCTGAAACGAGCCTTCCGAAGTCCTGGTCGAGATCCTCACCCAGAAACTCCCCATCCACCCGGCCCACCCTCCCTCAGCCGGGTCAGGTCGTCCTGGCTCGCAGAAGAGCCCAGCCCAAGCCCGCTCACCCGCTTCTCCTCGCCTCCCATCTTCCCCGATGCGTTGCGGGCCTTTTCCTCGGACATTTAAGAATTCCCAAGAGACGGAACACGACAAGGAGACACTGCGCTTGCGCCACGTGGCCCCGAAACAACCAGCTGATGCAATGTTAGGAAGTTCAAGCCCCGCCCCTCTCCTGCCGGCAGAACAGGCAGCCAATTGACAACGGGAGAAGGCGGGTCCTCCCGTTTCTAAACCAATGGAAGCGCTTTAGGAACTAAAACTGCGACAGTGAGAGGGACCTCAGACCCTAAACCCGACTTGAGACCCGCCCCGAGCCTGGAGGGGAGCAGTGCGCATGCGCCTTTGCCTTAGGGGGGCCCTTCCGGTTTCTGGAAAGCGTCCTGCGACCCGGGTACCGACTCCGGCTCCTGGGGGAGTGCTTGCTTCCCTGCGGCTTCAGCGCCCCCTGGCCGGGTGGCAGTCGGCCTGTGAGTCTGAAGCGGTACGTCGAGCCTTCTTGCGGCCCTTCTGGGCTTCCCCGGGCCGGAGCCGTGACCCCGGCGGGCCTCGGGCCGCGGGCGCTTCACAGTGAAGACCTACCTCGGTGTGTTGCCGGCAGGAAGGCTTAAAAACGAGGCTGCTTGCGCTACATTTAACTGTGAAGCCGCGTGAGCGACGGGAGCTTGCCTCCAGTACTAGTGGAACGCTTGCTAAGAAGTACCCAGGGTCGGGCCCACGCCTGTCAGCCTAGCTGCTCCGGAGGCTGAGACCCGGGATCGCGGTTCAAAGCCCGCCCGGGCAGGAGAGGCCGTGAGACCACCAGGAAACCGGAAGTGGCGCTGTGGCTCAAGCGGTAGAGTGCTAGCCTTGAGCTGAAGAGCTGAGGGACAGCGCCCAGGCCCAGAGTTCAGGCCCCTCGACCGAAAAAAAGAAGTACCCGGCCCTGGCTTCAATCCCCAGTGCAGAAAATAAAGACAGAGGGAAGGGTTGGGGGAGAGAGGAAGGGAAGAAGGAAGAGACAAAAGGAGGGAGGAAATAAAAAAGCAGGTACTTAACATGGTTGGTGAAAACAGACTTCAAAAACTTTAGTCCTTTCCGACTCCTCTCTTTAAATGTCATAAGGAAAACCGTAGTGGTGCCCACTCGTAATCTGCTTGAACTTAGGACTCCCCCCCCCCCAAAAAAAAATGCATAGTGAGACTCCATCAAAAAACAAAGTTATGGAGATAGAAAAATTTACATTTTTTTAATAACTTGCATTAAACTGTTAGAATTATTCTGTCATTGCTGTTGTTGACTTAAGTTGACAAATTTATAAATTAAACCTTATCCTAGATAAGTGTGTACACAAACAAATGTAATATATAGCATGCTATCTGCAGTTTAGAAATCTTTTTAGCGCCTTAGAACATACTCTCAGCTATGGGAGAACTACTGTATATAGTCCCTGGGATAAATTTCTTTCTTTCTTTGCTGAATCTCAGTTCTGCAAGTGAAGCCTGGTAGGAAAACAACAAAACAATACTATTCATTGCCTAAGGTGTTGTGTCTGTAAAAGGTCACAAGGACAAAGACAGGGTTTAAAAATGATCGTCAATGTTTTTAAACTTTCCAGGGTTGAAAAGCCATGAGAGAGAATGTGGCCTATTAACTTCATTTTAGCGCTGTCATTTTGTGCTGTACAGAATGAATTGTAGCTGTAAATGTGGAGATAGTTTCTTTTAGCTGAACATGGAGTTTAAAGAATATGTTGTTACATGCTGCAGATGAGGCCTAATATTACGTCTTTATATCCTCCCTACCTACCAGGATGCTTAATTCTCTTACTACTAGTAAATTGAGTTGTCATTCTATAATGGATCAAGAAACATTATGGCTAGAACTCAGAGGATTATTAGACTACTAATGGCACTCTCTTATCTGCTAGGCTTCTTTAAGGTAAAACGGTCACAATCCAATAAAGTTAGCACTAGCAGAACTCATATCCGACAGGAAAAAGTATTTAGGTTGTCCCATAAATAAAGAATACATTTGAGATCCTATTAGAAGGCAAACAAAACCTAAAGTGTGAGAAGACAATTGTGACTAACAACTTTAAACTAGTAATTATGTAAGTAAGGATGGTAGCAGCTATGATAAATACTACTTTAGTGTCCCCACCCCTGCTTTCCAGTCTTCCTCACTTTCAGAAGAATTATAATCCCAGCTAACATTAGTTTTAACACAAGTGGAAACAAATGAACACACATCCATAAGTATAAAGTTGCTTATATGTGTTGAATGTTACAAAGTCTTCACTTGAGTTAAGGACAACACATGCCAGGAGTCACAAAAATGGGTTATGTTAGGTGACTTGCATTTGTTTTTGGGGGGGGGGGGGGGTGTTGGTCGAGGGGTCTGAACTCTGGGCCTGGGTGCTCTCAGCTCTTCAGCTCAAGGATAGTGCTATACCACTAGAGCCACAGCGCCACTTCTGGCTTTATTTTTTCCTACTTATGTGGTGCTGAGGAATCAAACCTAGGGCCTCATGCATGTGAGGTATGCACTCTACCCCTGAGCCACCTTCCCAGCCCCTTGCTTAGCTTTTTTTTGTTCAAGGCTGGTACTCTACCGTTGCAACAGCTCCAGTTCTGACTTTTTGTTGGTTACTTGGAGATAAGACTTTCTGATTTGTCTGCTTTGAATGGCTTTGAACCCCAATGCTCATATCTCAACCCTTGAGTAGCTAGGATTATGGTTGTCAGCCACCAGTGTCTGGCTAGGCTTATTTTTCTTCTTCTTTTTTTAATTAAAAAATAAAGCTTTCTCCACATGACTGGGGAAAAAATGGATGCCAGCCATTCTAAGTTTATAGTATCTTTACATCTTTGTTGTTCAGGATCCCAGAGGACAAGGAGGCACCCTTTCCAGAAAAAAACCTGATCCAGTCACTGTGAGGTAAGATAGATAGAAAAGCTGACAGGAAAATCAGAAAACAGGGCTGGGAAGGTGGGTCAGTGGTAGACCTCTTGCCTTGCATGCCTGAGGCCCTGGGTTCAATTCCTCAGCACCATATAAGCAAAAAGAAAAAAGCCGCAAGTGGCGCTGTGGCTCAAGTGGTAGAGCGCTAGTCTTGAGCTGAAGAGCTGAGGGACAGTGCCCAGGCCCAGAGTTCAGACCCCACGACCGGACCCCTCCCCCCCCCAAAAAAAGAAAATCAGAAAACATCAGTCAGGAACTAAGACTAGCAGAGATCACGAAAATACTTAAATATTTTTTTCACACATTTCTACACATTTAATATTCCATAAAGTCAAGTATTAAAAAGACAAAACCATCCACTCCTTGCCATGGCGCCCTTTCTGGTCCAGGCCTCACCCGGAGGCAGAGAAGGGGTGGACGGGAAGGGATGGGACATATTTTTTGCCTGGTAACACTGAGAAAAAGCTCCTGAAGTCGGTCTGTGGTCATCTATTTAAATATTTTATATAGGAATAAAATGTCACATACCACAGTGGCCACTCCATTGGGAGTTGTACCTGGCAGAGTGACTTTTGTTTCCCCTGCTTTTTCCAGGCATTCCAAATTCTAAATAGAAGTCATACCCAAATGATTAAGATGTTTCTTGTTATGTAGCCTTTCTTTTAGAGTAGCAAAAGTTAATCCTTTGAAGAACATCCATGCATCCATCATTCTTTTAGATGTTTATTGTGTGATAGATTCCAGAATAGAAGAAGTATGCGATGAATTAATTCTGTGGCCAGAAAGGAATACTCCAGATCACAAAAATCAGATGTTCATATAACTAAACACATTCTCTCCATATTTGGATAGTAGTAAAGCCTCCATAAAAATCCATTGCCCCCATGATTGGGTGATAGCATCAAAGCAAGAATTTAGTAAAATGATTAAAGGCTATGATTAAAGGTGATGGAACCACTTATCAAGGAAAGTTTTCAATCATTCCCCAGCTTAGTCTAGAGGGCATATATCCACCCAGACTGAGGACCGCCATTTTGACCCTCTGGTTCTCGCCTCTTGCGTGTCAGGAGCTGTCCTCTCTCCCTTTCTACTTATCCCTGCTTGACTGTGCTTTACTCAAAAATCCTTGATAAACTTTCATTGTGTGAGTTGGGTTTTTTTTGTTTTTTTGTTTGTTTGTTTTTTTGTGGAACCCCTCAAAATGCTATTTGCTATGGGTTTCAGGTCCCTGTAGTTTGTGTGGAAACTGAGCAGCTGAATCAGTAAGTTCTCCTTCCTTCTCTCTTGTCAGGGACTCTCCCTCTCCTTTCTCCAATGACAGATGTGTCTGGAGGGGAGCAGATGGGACAGGCAAGACCGTGGTCTTGCTCACCTATGGCTGAAGAACAGCTCTATCAAAGGAAGGCAGAGTGGAGACAGGTGATTTTCCAAAGGAAGGTGGGAAAAGCAGGTCACAGAAAAGTGGTTTCCTTTTGGCCAAACATACAATACACAATTACATTCTCATGTTACAGAAGTACATACTTCCTACTACTTTTAAAAATGATATATTAATAATATACTATAAATATTGCTTGATTGGTAGGTAGGGTAGTATAATACAGTTAGGCAGGTAGAAAGGGAAAATTAATTAAAAAAGGAGCAAGGGGGCAGGTACAGCAACACATCCAGATGCATTTTGCAAAAAATTCTGTTCTACCATTATCCTGGAATAATGATTGACTATAGTTGAAGCCACTCTTGGTACATCTGCTACTGGTCATCACCAGCAATGACTTCAACAAAGACTTTTCCAATTCTAGCACTTAGCCAGAGGCCTCTTTGATATATCATTATAATTGTGATTTCATGCAAGCCTCCCTCACATCACCATATTGGCTCTGAAGGCAAATTGTTAGCTGACCATCTTATTATGCAGTTCTTAGAAATGTCCTTCTGTTTCTTGGAAAACTCCATAATTATGTATACATTCTTATCATAATCATTAAATCCTTTCTACAAAAATGCCTACTAAGCCAAGCACCAGTGGCTCATGTCTGCTGTAATCCTAGCTACTCAGAAGACTAAGATTTAAGGATAGCATTTCATAGCCAGTTCTGGGCAAGAAAGTCTGTGAAGCTATTATCTTCAATTAGCTACCAAAAAAGTCAGAAATAGAGCCGTGGTTCAAGTGGTAGAGAGCTAGCCTTGAACAAAACAAA